ATGGTGATGATATTGATGGTGATAATGATGGTGATGATATTGATGATATTGATGATATTGATGATGATGGTGATGATATTGATGATGATGAGGAGGATGATGATGATAATGATGATGATAATGATGATGATGTTGATGATGATGATGATGATGATGATGGTGCTGCTGATGATGATTATGGTAATGATGATAATGATGCACTAAATGATAATGTTTACATAGATGGTTGATGGTGTAGCCTACATTGTTTTCACATTCATAATGCCATTTTCTTTCAAGGTGTGAAATGATTGGTTATTGCATTATAGATTCTTTAATTCAGAGAAGGACATAATCATAAAAAAGTAAAAAATACTGATTTTGCAAGAGAGAGAGAAAAAAGAGGGGAAGAGAAGGATGGACAGAAAATGAACAGGGAGAGGGAAGAAGAAGAAGAAGAAGAAGAAGAAGAAGAGAGAGAGAGAGAGAGAGAGAGAGAGAGAAGGTGGTGGTGGTGGGTGGGGGGGGGGGGGGGGTAACATGAAGGCATAGGCCAACATTTGTGATATGATTATGAACTCTTGAGTATGAGTCATAAGTTAGTAGTGCACTAATCTGTAATACAAACAACTTCCTTTTATCTACATGGAGAAGAGACAAAGAAAAAGAGAAGTGGATTTTAAAATCTATTCTAGGCACTCACTGATCAGTGACATTTAAAGTACATTGACTGTAATAAGCTGCTAATGGGTATTAATTGGCTGGATAGTTCTTTTGGAAATACAAAGCTGAAATGTTTAATTCCTTGGTAGTGATGATATTCAAATCCCATGATCTTTTCGGATATTTGTATTCTTTCTTGCCAGTTAACATTTCAAAAAAGAAAATTATTAGAAACTAGTCTTGGTGGAAATATAGTGTGAGAGAACAATGTTAGTCAACAGTTCCTCATACAATGTAAGTTAGGCTGAATGAAAAACTAATTGCTTATAATCAATCATTCTAATTCTTTTCAACTTTCATTTGCAGTTTTTGTAATAGAAACAATAGGTACTGATAATAAAAATTGATAAAAAGAAAGAATTTGAAAAGAAATTAGATTAAATGTTGACTGCTAGAGCATGAAACATTAGTCTGTTCTACTTAAATGGACAATGCTTTTATGGAGACAGATGAACCTTCCTCTTCAGAGGTCAAAGGTCACAACGGCTTCAAATTAGGACCCTTCTTTTATGTGGATCAATATTATATGGATTTATATTTCTCTTTGATGTACTTTAGAGAACCACTGACCTATGACAAGGTAATGTCTTTTCACATTGTCTGCTGATCTTTTGTTTACATTCATTGAAATTGAAAAAAATTGAGGTGTACAATGGAAAGTGGCATGTCAGCGGACACTTGTTTAACTACTGTCACAAAGCTAGAAAAGGGACACAATGGGACTGACCCTCATTTAAATCACCTTCCATTGTTTGTGACTCACCGCTGGAAATGTCCGTTAAAATTTAGCCTGCTAAGCGCCAGAAGGACGGCTACTCATATCCTTGTACCTTGATTTCACGTCTATCGAGCTGTCCAGTGGTAGATCCAGGGGGCACAGCAGACTTGTGCCCCCAACCCCCCCCCCCCAAAAAAAAAGGGAGGGGGGGGGGAAGAAAAAAGAAAAACAATAGAAGAAGCTTAAGAGGCCGATGAACCCCCCCCCCCCTTCCCCTTTTTTTGTGGACAAAATGGCACAACGAATCTTGATGATTATGTGTACATGTATCATTTAGATTTATGCACATGTCTGACTGTGTGTATCATTAGTTGTATAACCCTGATTTGTAATACTGCAGTGTTATTGTTACTCAAAACACATTAAAAAACACATCACATTGCCTAACTAACCCAGAACTAGATCAGCATCTGAAATATAAATCAACTCATTCTCTTGCACTACGTGCCAGTCTTCACCTAGACACACTCAGAACTGCCTTCAACCATGTTTTATGAAGAATCAATAACAGCACACCTGTATAATTGGCTCTGTTTACTTCCACCGAAGTAATCCCTTACTGAGCATGCTCAGACACCCAATGTCATCATCGTTTCCATGGTAACAGGATGATAATCCCTTAGTAACGATGCTGCATAATCAGGGTCTCTCCTAGAGTACGTTGTCAAGGGACATGGATTGTGAGACATTTGAATGAGCATTGATTCAGTATGTAGGAAAGGTCTTGGCCCAGATTCTTTTTTTAAAATAAATATTTGAGGAAGTAAGAGAGGGGGAAGTGTGCCCCATGCAATTTGGACCAAGGCAGGAACTGTAATTTCCTTATTGCTATTGGAGAGTACATGAATATTTCAGTCACCAAAGCTCAAGAAACCTGTATTTCCTTTCCAGTCTGGTTGAAGTACATTACCAAGACATTTTCCAAAGTATAGCTTTGTAAGATGCAGGCCATTTTTTCTTGAAATGGTATATGCCTTTATTTCTCCTATTGAAAAAGGACAATGTAGGTACTAATCCCCTTTATCTCTTTTTTCCATTCAACCCTGCATTTCAATGAATGATATGGGGGAGGGGGATGCTTTAATCTTTCACAAGTGCTATTTAAGGACAAGGAAATATTACAAATGTAGTTATATTCATATTAACATTATTAATTTACAGACACCAAGAACTAATTTAATCACAGTGTTTAGAAGATAATCAAAAGATGGTTGATGTGTGTTACCTGTGCAGGTACAGGGAGTGGCTTCACACTGTTTGTGTTTGACAGCCAGTCTTTGACTCATTTCTAATGGCGCTGTCCTGTGGAATGAGAAATATATGAAAATGATAGGAATGATGTATGGGTGTTAGTTGGCAATTTGAAGTCACTGCGGCCAGCTGTTGCTTGTTTACACCTCTCTCTGCACATGTGCAGCAGTACACATGGGATAGTCTAGAAATCAGACTCAATTTTCAAGTTGCCATTTTGTTTAGTAATATCGATTGATATACCAGTTTGACTCTTAGCAGAACAAATGTAATCATATTGGCCACGATTTTGATAGAACATTACTGAAAGATGTTTAATAGGCACATGTGCAGCAGTACACATGGGATAGTCTAGAAATCAGACTCAATTTTCAAGTTGCCATTTTGTTTAGTAATATCGATTGATATACCAGTTTGACTCTTAGCAGAACAAATGTAATCATATTGGCCACGATTTTGATAGAACATTACTGAAAGATGTTTAATAGGCAAAAAAAAAAAAAAATAAAAATTAGGGCACCGCACCATAATGAATCAGAACGTTTACTTTGCTCAGGATGTCTGTGTAGGTGTGTTCCAGCATCCAGGTGATTTGGTTTCACATAATTTTTGTTTGTTTACATAACTTAGCCCTGCTCTATGGTAATGATACAAATGACTTTCAAAGAAAAGAAAAATCCTTGAAATGGTGATTCATTATACCAGACATCAATATTAGCTTTAAACATGGTAAATAAGTTTGATCAGTCTCTTAATTAAATGTATTTAACAGCACTATAAAGTTGTTGTATTTGAACACCTTTATCAGTTCTCATGTAATTACAAATTAATTGAATTAGCTGTGGCTTATTTCAATTCAAAGGGTAGACTTCATAGCCAGTATTGACATAGGCGATCTTAACACATACCTAGTTTTATAACACAGATGTACAATTTGTGGGCATACTGTAAAGGCTGATAAAATAAAGGCAAATAAAATAAAGGCAAACTATCTTCTCCTTTTTGTCTCGCCTGCGTAGCAAAAAGCGAGACATAGGCGCTGCTTTTCCGGTGACGGCGACGGCGACGGCGGTGTCAACATCAAAAACTTAACCTAAGGCTATTGAAGTGCCTTTTTTAGTGTCATTTTTAATTTTTGGTTTGTTGTTGAAACCCTCAATACATTTTTAGAGTTTTAGAATTAAGACTATAGTATGCGGTTAAAGATTTACACATGTATATGTGTATGGAAAATGTGGTTTGTCACTACATTGTTATTATTAGTAATATTATTCTAATTATTATTATCATTATAATTATTACAATTATTATAATCGTCATCGTTGTTAGTATCATTATTATCATTATTATCATTATTATCATTATCATTATCTCTATTATCATAATTGTTATTATTAAATATATCATTCTTTTTATTGTTATTATTATTATTACTATTGTTATACTATACCACCTTTTTTAATTGAGACTAATGGGTCTGCGTCTCTACACTAATCCACACATGTGTCTGTGTTGATAGCGGGGAGGGGGGTTTCGCGCACTTGCACTTCAGTCTTCAGCCTAGGTGCTGGACATTGCAGGCACTGAGAACCATCTTAGCAGTCGATCTGCCAAGGAGACACAGAAGGAATTTGATGGAGGTATAAGGTTCCATTTCGATTCAGGTGACTTGGGATGATCGAGTTTCCTTGCAGGGAAAGGAAACATTAGTGTGATTTCTTTGGCTCTATGTGTTGGTTACATAGTATCAACTTATAGTTTCCTTGTTTTTGTGAGCACCTGGATTGATTCATCTGTTTGGATTAAACATTTATTTGGAATATGATTATGTCTTAACTCTTTATGACTTAATATGGGAAAGTCAAGTTGCGTCTTCCTTTGTAATCTTTCTTCTCTGCTGAGACATTTGTACTCTTAAGTAATTGTGTACCATAATCAGAAAATTGGTTTCATCAAATTCGACCAGTCAATTAAACCTGGATGTTAACTTATTGTTTTTGTGAGCATCTGGATTGATTCATCTGTTTGGATTAAACATTTATTTGGAATATGATTATGTCTTAACTCTTTATGACTTAATATGGGAAAGTCAAGTTGCGTCTTCCTTTGTAATCTTTCTTCTCTGCTGAGACATTTGTACTCTTAAGTAATTGTGTACCATAATCAGAAAATTGGTTTCATCAACTTCGACCAGTCAATTAAACCTGGATGATCTTAACTTAAATGTATAGCTATTCTTCAAAAACTTTTGGATCTCAAGAATAGATATATTAAGTGAACACTTTTGGACACTGGTGGATGTTTCATTGTCATGGATTATTGCACAGTTTCAAAAGAATAAGGTCTGTTGTGCTGTACAAAGCGAAGTCTGCAATTTGATGCATCTGAAAACTTAGAGGAATATTAAGTATTGTTCTGACCTTTGCAATATTGTTTAATGAGCAGGTGCTGTTAACAACAAAACTTCATGTTATAAAATTCCCAGTCAAAACTATCAGAAAGTTTTGTTGCCAACACCGGCGTCAGTCGAAAGCTAGTGCCAAACAGTTGAACTCTTTGCTATATTCTCTTGGGATTCCCCTTTGAAAGAGATACAGGCATTTCATACCTTGGTGATTCAGGGATATGGATCTTTGTTGTTGCCTAGGGCACTCATGAATGAAACATTCAACTCCCCCGTAACAAACAATCTTGAACTGTCATATTCTTTTGTAATGATTCAGTCATCCATAGGATTCGCCCAAGATTTTAAAGCTCTGATTCCATGTTTGACTTTTTAAAAGTTGACTCAGAAAAACTGAGCTTATTTTTGGCTCCCTATCATCGCCTCATTATCCTCTATCATCACTTCAAAGGAGTTTTGACTTGCTCAGGAACTCAGTTTAGATTTACTCTAACTCTTCCTGTCCTCCCCCGGCTACTTGTCTCCTTTTGTCGCCAAAGTCCACCACCCTCTTTTCGGATCAATACTTTTGGATTAAAACAATATTTGACTCGCCGCTGGAGATTTTGTCGTCCGAACTTGCAGAGAATTGGAAGTGTCAGAAGTAAATTTGTGATTCATAAATGGTGTCTTTGTAAACTCTGGGGTGAAGGGGCGCTGTCATAGTTTTGATTCTAGTTTCCTTGTATGACTGATGAGTTCTATTTACAGTGCGGTTGTGGAGATAATTGTCAGAGGCGGGAATATCTTCTGTATTTGGTGAGTACCGGTATGTCAATTTTGTGTGGTTGAGTGTTTAAATGTCAGCAATACCTCTGAATGTTTATCGCTATGTGTGTCTACACCTAAATTGCCCAAATTGGGCAATGTAGTGTGTATGCCACCTTATCAAAGAATTTAAGTGGACCCATTGTTTGAAAAGGACAACTAAAAAAATGAAGTTTATTTTCATTTTGACCCACCAAAAGATTAAAGGATTGAAGAAAAAAAAACAGTTGCTGAATTTATTCAGCATGAGTTTGTGTCTTAATAAGTCTGATCGTGGCCTATAATATGAATAGTATAGGTCCATGATGAGATTATTTTGACCTAAAGAACTTTAAAATATCTTGTACCCTTGCCAAAAAGAAATTATTCTTTCCTTGAAAATAAATAAGATTGTAAACAATTTGTTTAGACCAACAGCATAATGGAATATACCCCCCATAATCTGCCCAATTGATTATACTGTATGTGTAGGTTGAAGAACAGTTCTAAAGACAGAAAAGTACTTTTATAAAGTTAGTTTCTTTCAGAGGGTTTTTCTTGTAAATGTTTTAAAGGAACCTGCAATAGTAAGAATTTATCAAAACTTTGTTATCATCTGTGATGTATTTTCTACATTTTCTGACTTTGTTTATCTTGTCTACACAGTACCACATAATGTAGTGTCTTCTATTCCTTTCTATTAAAGTGCCCTATGTGTATTAAAGATAACAGCACACCTCAACATTTAACATTTGATAAAGGTTGACGGCTGCGAGACAGATTTTTAATAGATATACCATGAATGATAAAAATAGTATTTAATTTATCTGTGGGATGTGAAAAATATAAAACAAAGCAGTACCGTATGTCTGCTTGGTCGCGTAAACATGTTGATGTCAGATGTAATAATTCAAATTAGATTTAATCTTGGTACATTGTACTTTTCAAATGTTATTTTTCTCACCACAAAATTGCAAGCAAGTTACCCATGAACATTCCTGAAACAGTCCTGTGAAAATAGATTGACAACACCCGTGGTAATGGTATTGATTATAGGTAATTTGACATTGTCAGACAATAGCCAGCCATGCTTGAGCTAGCATTGGTATTTGATTTACAGTAGGCGCGTTTTCATCATCTCGAGTTTGCCAAATAGCCCGCTATTTCTGATTTGGGAAATAATCCCGCAGTTACAAATCGCATCTTCATCAGCTCGAGATTCGACCTCGAAACTTGAAACTCGACCTTGAGAAATTAGCTTGAGATATTTTGCTCAACGTTCGCGCATAGGAGACGCATCGGACAAAAAGCTGGATATTTTGCCAAGTAGTGGGATATTTTGCAAACTATACCAAGATATCTTGGGATGGCAATCCCGACCAAATATCCTGCTAATATCCTGCTAACTTCGGGCTGATGAAGACGCAAATGAGCTGGATAGTTTGCGATCAGGATAGTTCAAATAGCTGGATATTTGGCAATCTCGAGCTAGTGAAAACAGGTCTAGTTTCCATCAATCACATTCTTAGTCAAGCATCGTTGAACTTTGTAGAAAAAAAATCGATGTTAACATGCCTCTGGTAGACCCTGTGTAAATATTACATATGACTCATGTTTGAGGGAGATTGTAAATATTATTAATGAGGGCATATTTATGAATGCAGTTTAAATAACCGCAACCCTAAAATGTAAGTGCAGCTACAAAGAAAATGAGGAAGAATGTGTCTTTTAAACCGTTGATAACTGTTTCTAACCACTATGAAATCCCAAATCCTTTGGAACTATGAACCATTTCCAGTGGGCTAATATTTCTTTGTGGCTTGTGTTTGATATTAAACAATGGAGAACAAAAGACTGATTTTGTTTGCCTGATGTAATGAACATTGATCGAAATGGGAGTTGCCCGAATTTGACAATGCTGAAAAAATATTTGATTTTTGTAATGAGTCTTTTCTATTTGCCAGTCCTTTGTTACTGGATTTTGTTTTGTTCTGTTAGTTGAGTCTCCAAAGGGTTATGAAAAGTAGAACGTTTTGGTAAGGAATAATTAAACTGTGATCAATATGAAATTACTCATATGATAAATGCAATCAAACAAGCTGGATTTACACTGCAAGTTGGTAGTTTCTAAGCACATATGAGGCAAAACCGAAATAAAAAAAATATCCATATTATCTTGCTTTCCATCAGCTCTGACTTTTTATATTCCTTTATAAAAATATATAAATATTGAATATAGTACCCTAAGGGTTCTTCTAAATAAAGGTTGGTATAAGAGGATTAGATGATTCTGAAGGACATTAATTGTGTGTATGTGATGTTTATGCCCTTCTGGCTCCTAACAGATGACACTGATACCAGGGGGGTGTTTCACAAACTTAACTTTAAGTTGGACTTAACAATTATGGAGAGCCATTTGTAGCCTTTAAAAAAATATATTAAAAAGCAAAAATTGAAGTATTTTAGACTTTTTATTAATTCCACGTCAAGTTACATGAAATTTCTTTGATTATAGAAAGTATGATTGATTTGAATCAACATTTTAGCCCTTTTAAAATAACTTGTACAAACTGTTTTCATAGATTCCAACGGCTTTCCATAATTGTTAAGTCCAACTTAGAGTTAAGTTTGACTTTAGGATCTTTGTGAAACACCCCCCCCCAGGTGTGTTTATTATGATTCAGCTGTATGATTACAGTTTGGATACGCCCCTTGTAATCCTAGAGGTTCAGGTGAACCCTTTAGAACTCTGTGGACCTTGATAGGCTTGGGACAATTCAAGAACTAAGTTCAGTCAATAAAAAACATTAAAATACACAACAGAGAAATATCAATAGACATCAATACAGAGCAAGTAGATATACATGTAGTCAAATTTTGAGAACTGAGGGGTCAATCTAAAAAGAGCTGTACATTGACCCCAAAATTAACCAAAAAATACATAATTATAAGAACTCAAGACATTTGATCTATATTCCATCTTTATGATAATGATGATGATGACATTTATGTATATTTCAATTATATTTTTCTTGAGGATTGTCTTGTAAACTTTATTTTTGTTTTCCATCTGTTATGATGTACACATGTATGGGACTGACGTTTTGCTCCAAATTTTAGCAAAACTGTATACAAAATTAAAAAAGAAGCGAATGTAAATTTAATGAGTAAAAATGGAGAAATTTTGGAAAGGAGAAGAAATAAATAAATCAAATCAAATCAGAAGAGAAGCAATGGAAACAAAGTATGAGGAGAAGTAGAAGTAAAAGAGAAAAGAAAAAGAAATTCATGTTTTAAGCAAAGATAAATGGAGAATATTAACTACAATATATGTCAAAACATAGAAGAGATTGACTGTATAGTATGCAGTTTAAGAAAGATGTGTAATTCAGTGAAGAGAACAAAAGCAAAGAAACTGTATAAACTAAGCTACAATGTACATACTGTACATGTAACAAGGAATTTCTAAGACTGCCAGTATTCAACAAGTTCATTTGAGTCCATTTTCATTCCATTCCTTTATTGGTGACATTTATGCTTATACAATCAGTGTTTGATTCCTGTACCATTTCCAATTTACTATAACTTGCCTTAAAATGATATCTGTCTACGACCACCGATCTTCTTCAGGATGCTCCGGTAGAAAGTTGAACAAAGTTTACTTCAAAGGGAAATCTTATTTGATATCAAAGTGAGTCAACCTAATAGGCAATGATAGACAGACTCTGATTCATTCTCCAAATCGACAGCATGAGTTATAGTCCGTTCAGACCGGAGAAAACTGTACAAAACTTGTTTTTAAAGATGAAATCAAGATTATAACTATTATTATTATTATTATACAAAGAAACATCAAATAAAGAAGGTAGGTCTGAATTTGGTTGACATGGCAGTTGGCCAATCAATTAGATCCTTTATTGATTTTTCATTAGAAGCAATTAATGCTTAAACATGTGTTTTGCTTTATGATATTTTGTTAGAAAATTGCTATACGATGTTCAGACTAGAACAAACTACTTATCGTACAAATGGTTTTAGGATAGCCGTACAATTATTTTTTGTAGTCTGAACTGGGGTTAGACATCATGCCGGATTCAGCTCAGTTTAAGGTAATGATGGAATTCTTAAATAGAATGCTTTGAGATCTGAGTTGCTCTGGTGGGAAGTATCAAAAGTGCACAGTGATTTGATGGAACAAGTGACCCAATTCTAGAATTGTACAGATTATATGACTTGTTGCTGAGAAAATGAACAAGAAGTGGCGTGGAGTGATATCTTATGCTGGCTTTTCTTCCTCATATAACATATTTCAACAGAAGTATGCAGGAAGAAATGGGGAAAATTATCATCCATGTGTTTATTTTGAATGATTATGCAAAGAAGCATTAGTTGTAGTTTTTTAATGAAAATGCAATGTTTGACTTGACATAGTTGTTTCAGGAACAAGTCATAAAATTGTGAACTATTTGTCATATGTGATTTCATATGATGTACAGGTACGTGAAGATTATTGTAGAAATGATGTTTTCCCAGCAGATTTGTGCTTAATTGCACATTTGTAAAAGGAAATCTAGTGGAGAGAAGAAAGAGACAGAGAGAAAGATGGGGGTGGGGAGGGAGGGATGGCTATAGGGATGGAAGAAGGGAGGGAGGGAGAGTTCCTTATAAGTTTGCTGGAGCCAAATTGCTAACCACAATGTGCTTGTCCATATTTTTATAATGCTTTGTTAGTAAACCTTTGTTGAGGAATCACAAAATAAAGGAGAAGAAAGATTACTACAGCCAAAGAGCTAGGTTGGGGGAAAGAAGCGGAGGAAAGAAAGAAGCAGGACTGGATATTGGGAAGAAAAGAAGAAATATGATAGAAATATGATAGAAAGAAAGAAATAAGAGCACAGAATTTGTACCATGATATTGATAAGCTGCTTTCTGAGAAAACATATATTATATTAAAAATTGATAATGAAGGTTTAAAAAATAATCCTTGATCTGATTTCTAAACTCATTTAGAT